AAAGTTAGTTAGTTAGGGTTTTATTGTTTATGATTAATTTCATAATTTTATTACTTGTTCAAAGTATCTGGCATATTGTTGCATAAGGCTTTATTAACGTTAATAAAACAAAAAACTAAATTTAAACAAGTAGTGCAATTTGAATCGAGTATATAAGATACTAATTTATTACTTTATTTTTAAGTAATCTTACAGCGTCTTTAATAGATGATGTATCATCTATTACAATGAATGAAGAATCATTTGTTACAATATATGAAGAAATGGTGCCTTCAGCAAATGAAGCCTTATCAGTTACAGTACCTGGAAAAATAAACCAACTTCGGGAATATTTGATACAAAAAAGTGTTTACTTATTAAAAAACTAGGTCTAATATCTATATAAACTATTTACAAACACCTACTTCTTAATAGATTATATTGTTAACTTTGTTAATAATAACTTATACTATGAACTTTCAAGTTGTTTTAGACTTTTTTAGCCTTGAGTTTTTTATCTTACTTTTATAAAAAATAATTTAAATAATTATTAAAAAAAATTGTAGTAATTTTATTTTACAACAAATTTGATTTATGCAATTTATTTTTATTTAATAATTATATAAATTGTTTATATTATTTTGAATAGAATAATTAGTTAAGATCTGTTTATTTTTAATAATATATTCTGTTCAAAATATAACAACTAATTTAAAATCTATAAAAATAAGTTTTTTATTTTCTTGTTACTTCGAATTTAAATTAATAAATAACTAGTAGTTTGATTTAGCTAAAATTTTATTATATAAAGATTTGCTAATTCCAAATTTAATTACAAGGTTATAATTTTCAATATAAGGTTTATTATTTTTTCTAAAAACATAATTCATACCATTAATTATTACTGTATAAACGTGGAATAATGCCCATGGGTGTTATTATGCAAATTAAACCTTTAAAAATAGTATATGTAGTTTCAAATTAACACCCATGTGTATCCTGAATTATAAAAAAATAAAGAATAAAAAGTGCTTCAGATTATTTGAACTAGTAAACCTGCTTTCGCAATCTAACAAAAGTTGTTCTTTATACTAAGACAATTATAATAATGGTAAAAGCAGGTTTATTTAGTATAAAATCCAGTTCAGGTGCACTTTCATGTCTTACTATACTTCTTATAATGAAGAGGGTTTATTTGGTCTATATTTCGAAATAACACACTTGGGCGTATTTGAAATAACGCGCAGGTGGACATTATTCCGCATTTATACGGTAGTTAAAATAACACTTTTTTTTGAATATTACTAGACTCATAGTTAATTTACTATTTATTTGTAATTGTATTCATACCAAATATATAAGAGAAACAATGTAAGAAAGAAAGAAATTATATTACAATCAGGTTATATAAAGTTTTATTATACTTCAAAACATTTTTCTTTATTAAGATATTTATTATATTGAGGTAAATTGTAATAACTTCGTAATTCGATATATCAAGGCTTTATATTAAAATTCATTATATCGAGGGAATTTTAAACTAAAAAAATTCTAGCTAGAAAAAAATTTCATTATAACAATGAATTCGGTTGATTGAGGTTCACTTTATCGAAATTCTTTTATTAGCATCTAATTAGTAAGAAAGCCATTATGTTATTATATAGTAAACGCTATTATTAATAGAAGTATTGCGCAAGAAAAATGTAATAATAAAATATATTATGAAAAATTTCGAAACACACTGACATATTCGCACACAAACAAATGCAAATACTTATTAGCAAACATTCATTCCATGCAGCCATAATTGAAACTAGTTTTTGGACATAACATTTATTTTTTTGATAAGTAGTATGTGATCATTATTGGGAATGTCAATCTAAACTGCAATTCAACTGAATTCTTAGTAAACA